AGCTCCACCTCCTGCAGTTTGGCCATCAGCTGCTCCTCGTTGCGGCAGACCTTCTCCTGGGCGTACAGACCGTCGGGCATCACCCGCTGCTGCCCCAGACCCATCAGCGCCGTCTCCACTGCCAGCGCCAGGTACGACTCTCCGTCCTCCAGGAACCGCCGCGCAGACGGAAACAAGAGCTCACTGTGCCTGCTGGAGCCGGCTGCAGGAGGATGAGGAGAAGAGGAGGAGATGAGGATGAGGAGGAGGAGAGGATGAGGAGGAGATGAGGAGGAGGAGAAGGAGAGGAGAAGGAGGATGAGGAGAAGAGGAAGAGATGAGGAGGAGGAGAAGGAGAGGAGAAGGAGGATGAGGAGAAGAGGAAGAGATGAGGATGAGGAGGAGGAGAGGAGGAGGAGAAGGAGAGGAGGAGAAGGAGAGGAGGAGGAGGAGAGGATGAGGAGGAGCAGAAGAGAAGGAGAGGATGAGGATGAGGAGGAGATGAGGAGGAGGAGAAGGAGAGGAGAAGGAGGAGGAGGAGCAGAAGAGGAGGAGATGAGGAGAATGAGGAGGATGAGAAGGAGAGGAGGAGGAGAAGTGGAGGAGAAGGAGAGGAGGAGGAGGAGAAGAGGAGGAGGAGCAGAAGAGATGAGGAAGAGAGGAGAAGAAGAGAAGAGGAGGAGGAAGAGGAGGTGGAGAAGATGAGGAGAAGGAGGAAAGGAGGAGGAGAAGATGAGGAGGAAAATAGGAGAGGAGGAGTGGAGGAAGAGGAGAGGAGGAGGAGAAACAGAGGAGGAAGGAAGGAGAAGAGGTGGGGGAGAAGAGGAGGAGGAGAAGAAGAGGAAGAGGAAGAAGAGGAGGAGGTGGATGAGGAGGAGGAAGAGGAGGAGGAAAAGAGGAGGAGGAAAAGAAAAGGAGAGGAGGAGGTGAACGAGGAGGAAGATGAGGGGAGGAGGAGGAGGAGTAGAAGAGGAGGAGAAGTGGTGGAGAGAAGGAGGAGAGAAGGAGGAGGAAGAGGAGGAGGAGAAGTGAAGGAGGAAGAGGAGGAGAGGAGACAGTCACGAGTGTCAGATGTGGGGGAGGGGGTGTGTGCAGGAGCTATTCTCACGGGTTATAGAGAGCCAGACCTATAGCGGGTTTCATCTGTTTAAAGTGTGACAGTGAAGGATGAGCGCGGTTATGAGTGTGTGTGTGTGTGTGTGTGTGTGTGGCCTGCACACCTCTGAGGATCTGAACCATGGGCGTTGCTAGGCCTATTTTAGGAGGACTGTAGCCCCCCCTATTCTTCTACTCAGCCCCCCTAAAACATTGGTGATGATCTGTGCATTAATGATCGCCTCAGTCCTCTTTATATTTAAGATGGAAACAGCAGAAACAGAATTCAGCTCCTCACCATCTATCGTTTTTCACCTGATTAAACGGCAGCAGCAGGAGTGTGTGTGTTCATCTGTAACTGTATAATCTGCTTTACTGCTGTAATCGCTAGAGAAACATCACCTGTACCCCGATATCATTGAGGAGCAGCCGGCTTTCCTCTGTGTTCACCTCATCCTCAACTGTGAACACTGCAGCTCTCCATCATCATTTCACTGTTATTAGTTCATCATGAGCTACTGCTATAGGACAGGTGCAGTGTGTGTGGCATTCACTACAGCATCACAGAGAGAGTTACCCACAGTGACGGAGCACTCGGTGAATGCACTCGCTCAGCAGTCAGCGTCACTGAGAGATGCAGTCAGCACGTGTTGTCTAGTGTTCAACATATTCACTATCATGAGTCCGATGCTGAAATATGGGAATTAGCCTGTAGGTTTAATATTCATCTATATTTATGCCATTTAATTAGAAAAGTGGCATTTTATTTAATGATTACATGGGAACAGAAGAATAGTTGACTATAGAGTGTTTCACTGCAGTAAACAGGAGTGTTGAGCATATTCAGCTCATTCAGAACGCTGATGTCTGGACGATACAGTGGAACACTGCTGGTTCAGCAGACAATACTCCATAACAGACAAACATTTAAGTGTTTTACAACTCAATTATTACTTATTAATGTATATTACACTGATAGATATATAATCATTCATTCATTCATATTATTTTCAGCTTAGTCTCTTACTTACAACTTACAGCTTAGTCGCCACAGCATAATGAACTGCCAACTTATCCAGCATATGTTTTACACAGTGGATGCCCTTCCAGCTGCAACCCAGTACTGGGAAACACCCATACACACTCATTCACACTTATACACTACAGCCAGTGTAGTTGATCAGTTCCCCTATAGCGCATGTGTTTGGACTGTGGGGGAAACTGGAGCACCCGGAGGAAACCCACACCAACACGGGGAGAACATGCAAACTCCACACAGAAACACCAACTGACCCAGCCGAGACTCAAACCAGCGACCTTCTTGCCTTATATACACACATATATATATATATTACCTGATAAGGAGCTGAGCCCTCCTGTAATGAAAATCCTAAACTCGCCCTGCTCTGAACCCAAGAACCAAATCTAAGAATCTGATTGGCTGTGCATCAAGGCAGGACTGTCATAATGAGACATTCCCTAGGGTTAGAAGATACACACGTACGCACGCACGAACGCACACATGCACACTCACACACACGCACACATGCACTCGCACACACACGCACATGCTTAATCAGAGTCTACAGCAGTGGAGGAGCGGAGGATCACTGCAGAGCAGCACGCCACTGGCCTGAAGATCCCACCTAACCCTAACAGATCTGTGTGTGTGTGTGTTGAGCGTGTATGTGTGTGTGTGTGTGTTTTAAAGTGTGTGTGTGTGTGTGTGTG